TCGAACTTGCCTTAATACTAAAATCAATAGGTCAGGTTTTTAGTAAATGAGCAATGAAAAAACCTGACCTGAAAATAAACATGAATGATTTACAGTTTTATAATAAACTTAGTTCCTTATTTAAGACAATTTAGCGTAGTGTGGTTTAAAAATCAGTCTCAATTAAAGCCACGTTTTCAAAGAACCAAAACAAGCTTCGAAGTAATTGTTAATTTTCCAAGCGGGCTAATATGAAAATGAGTTTGGAAATTTAAATAATATTACAGTAATAATTGGATGACATTCAATGAAAAATATTATGTTTAAATACATTTTATGAATACAACTCAAAGAAGTATATCATAATTTATTTATTTATTTAGAAAATCAACAACAACTGTCGATACATATGAAAACTATGATTTATATCATCATATAATATTATAAAATAAAATAAAGATATTTAATAATACAACGTTATAATTTCAAGTTAAATTATTCTTTCCATAAACCATGATTTTAAGTAGTTCTTAACAGTAACTCAGTTCATTTTAAACTTATAAATGTAAAGTAAGATTTTATAAAATCATTATCAAAATTGCGATGTAAACTTCTTAAAATGTTTCTATTTAGAAAATAAAAAATATAATTTACCAGCACTTGCTGAAATGCTTAAACTTTCAATATTGTTCTTCCCCCACAAATCCCAAATGTGTAAGCGGAAGTGTACCTTTTCAAATAAATTTAAGCATTTAGGCCTCACACCTATTAACCGGAACTGATCCGGTACAGCACTTTTGTTTATGTTATGAACAGGATGAATACACAGAAGCGGATGCTGCCGCTGCTGTTGCCGCTCTTGTGGAATCCTGTGATGTGCGTGAGCACCAAAGTGTGGCTTATGTGGGCGCATTGCTGGGCTTTCATTTCCAAAATTGTGTGTGTTAGATGGTTCTGAAAACTCGCATGGCACACCACGACCTAAACCACAGCCGAGCTCACATTTCAAGGCTTTCACAATGAACATATGGCCGTGTGTGCGATATTCTAATTAAATTTCATTTCAGTTTTCGAGAAAATGTTGGCGGCTGACAATCAAGAGTGGAAACAAAATACTTACAATTGCAATTGAGATTGAAAAATCTAGGACTGCAGATAAAATACAATTCAGATTAAAATTGATTACAAAAATGCAAAAATGCAATTAAACGAATTTAATCAAAGTTTTACACTGACCACAAATGACAATTAATTGAATGAACATTTATTTGCAGGACCTTTACAATTTTGCATTTTCATTTGCCCAACTAATGAGATTAATTAAGGTCGTGCTAACAGGGCGAGCGTGGCAAAGTCAGTTAGCAATTTCATTTGGTATTTATTTATTTTGAAACCCAGAAATACGAAAAATTCATTAAATCAACATAAATGGCAGCTGGCATGAGCCCATCAGCGGCAACGGCATTCGACAACACTTATAGTCAGGCGTCGGTCACTTCTTTTATATACAAGTATACACATACATACTACACTAAATACATACATACATGTGTATTTTCGTCTCTCCAATTGCAAAAACATAAAACGCATAAAAACTGTGAAGAACAAACAAAAAATTACAGAACAACTGTAATAACAAAAACAAAATAATGTTCAACGCATGCTGTTGTATAATAAAACCAATTTGTTTCAGAAAAAACAAAATAGCAAATATTGCTGTTCACACTTTCTGTTTTCTGCCGCCAGCTGAAAATTTGTCCCTCCCATTGATGTGGGTCACGCAGCCCAGAACTGTTACGATATGTATTCGAATTTAACAAACAAATTGGTTAGATATTTGCACGTGTCTGATTTCTCTTTTCGCTAATTTCAACATTTCGATGACCCTTTTTGTTTGTCTAGCCGACTGTCTGACTGACCGACTGACTGCAACATGTGGTTGGCTTCTGATTGTTAACACACAAAAACCATTGTTTCGCAAGCTATGTGCATTGATTTATATTACAAATTGCATTTGAATAATCCATGCGCCCACATCATCGCTTATGAACGACATACAACTAAACATACATGTGTAGGCGATATAAAAACAGATTGTACTTGTTGTTCAAATTGGTTTTTATTTTTGGTGAGACTTTATTTTTTTTATGAAAAGTGCAATAACTTGTTTAATATTTTTAACATGTTTTATAGAAAAAGGGAAACGTTTATAAAAATGGAGCTAAAAAATTAACCCAAAATTTGTTGTACATTATTGGAAACACCCAGATGAGCCAAAACCGTTTATAGAAGTCAAAAGTAAAAACAATACTCATTTGCTTCGAGGATTTTAATAAGAAATATTTTGTTTGCTAGAATGAAATCAAGTAGTAGCTTCTGTTGAAGACATTTGGCAACTTCAAATGTAAGAAGGAAAAGGCTGCACATTCTTGCATTCCTGTTTCAAACCTAAACTATTATACCCAAGTAATAAAGTAGCTTTTATCGTATATTCATTTCAAAAGCGATGCAAAAATGTATAATTTTTGCAAATTTCAGCCTAGCCTTAGCGGTACTTTAAATTATGTATCATTTGTATTAATAGGTGAACTATTATTTAGTAACCATTAGACGCAGCCGACCGGAAGCACTCAAAATTCACGAGTTAACTTCATTCAATGGTGCAACCACTTAATTTTGTATGCCAAAAACTCGGCATAAATACGGCACGCAAAACCCTTTTACGCATTAATCTCTGAGATCCAGCCGAGCTCTAATGATGACGTACAAATTTCAAGGTTTTTCACTTTTGAATATTTTCTCACTGGTTACACTCAGCAAGTCAACAGCCCATCCCCTGGCCAGCCAGCCAGCCAGTCAGCGCAAATATTTTCCCAGCTTGGTCCTCGGCAACTCATCAAGCTACGTAGCCAGCACTCATACGCCATGTGGTACACGTGTGTGCATTTTTAATTATGCCGGCGTAGAAGCTGGAAGGCAGTAACTAGCCGTGAATTTTAAGCAACTAACTTATTAAAAGCCACTGAGCTGCACATACTCGTATATGTATATATAACTACGAGTATTTGGCGTACGGCTCGCTAAACAAGTTTTAATTTGCTGGGAAAATAAGAGCGCCTCGTTATTACATAAAGGCACAATGCCAGCTAATCTCTGATCCTGCCTAGATGCTGGCGAGTTAGTCAACGGAATTGCCAAAAGATTAACATGCCGATAGGCAACAGTCATTGCATGTAAATGGCTGCTCTGTAAAAGTCCTACAAATCCTTTTTGTAATCCGCTCATGGTCAGATAACCTAGAAGTGTGCTAAGTCGCCGCTAAAGCCATTTGCAAAAAATATGTAGAAGAAACGACGAAAAAAGTAGGAGCCTTCATCAGTGTGGCATCAGTTGGAAAATTTCTTAATTTTCTCCAACCTGGTGACTATCACACACTGCCGCAAATCCCGCATAGCAAAAAAAAAATTATTAGACGGCTCATTTGTTTGCGCTTGAAGAGCTCCTTATTACGTTTTGATTATTTTCGGCACGCGTGTGCTTTAGGCCCAAAAATACAAAAATAAAATAAATAAATAAGAGAAACAAAATATTTCGCAAAATTTCAGCGACGTCGGCCATTTTGTTGCGTTGTAAACAAATTCATAAATATATACTGGACCAGGCCATCGTCCAAGGCCTGCATTTGTTTTTTTTTTTTTGTTTTGTTTTTTGCCTTTTCATTTCATTGCGTCCCTCTGCTCTGCCTGGGCCCGACCTTTGTCTGCTTTGTCCATAATGAGATATCTCTCTATTCCTCTTTTGTTTCATTTCATCATTTTTTCACTCTGCCTGGCTATGTGTATGTGTGTGTGTGTGTGTGCTACCGAGCCAACTGGCCGACCCTCTAGTCACCAGCCCCATTTCTTATTGTTGTATGCTTATTGGCGGCGCGGCTAAAGTTGCTTTGTTGTTTTTGCATAAAATAATACCGCTGGGAAATTCATGCAAAAGTATCTACAGCGGCTGAAAGAGCACTGCGAGACGACGACGACGACCGCGGCCATGTGGCCTTATTAATTAGAACACGCGCTCGTTTCTTCCTCATGCAATAGGCCGCAAGCTCAAAAAAGGACATACTTGCGTTTAATTTAAATTCATTGCAATTTTTTGTTGCTGGCTCGCTCTTCATTTGCATATGAATGCAAAGTGTGCGGGAAACACAAAAAAAAACAACACTCCAACATTTTCACTTATGCCCGCACACCTGCTGGCTATTCTACTTGACTTCACACCTTTGCCGCTCAGCGCACACTATTCCGGATGAAACAAAGTGGCATTAATTTCAAGGTATTTCATTGAAGTCTAGAAACAATGCGATTCTTTTCCAATTTCCTTATAGAACTTCACTAAGATCAGGATTATTTTTGGTTCCGACAGCTGTCCCTAAAGTGACTAATACAACTTCGAGATTCTCTACAAAAAAAGCAAAAGCAAGCTAAGCTAAATATGCTACAGATATGATGATATGTGTAGACTGTTTGTTAGGCTATTAAAAAAGAATTAGCTCATAAATGATATACTTCAAAGTTTTAAGTACTTTTCTCTGTCGAATATAAACTACATCCCTCTTTCTATGGGCCTTACTAATTTCGGATTTGGTCGATGATCATTTTGTGCTACCACTCAGCATTTGGTAAACCAGCATTTTCAATCAAATTTCTATTCAAATACTCTCTATTTCAATTTAATTTAAAATACATTCCTCTTTCTAGGCGCCTTCTAATTTCGGATTTGGTCGTTGATCACTTTTTGGTAAGCCAACATTTTCAATCAAATTTCTATTCAAATACTCTCTATTTAAATTATAGGAGTATTATATCATGATATAGTTAGCATTAACATATTATTCGCGTTCATTAAAAAATAGGCTTCGGAGTAAGAATTCGTCTCATTTTGCTGACAATTTATGTATTCCTCTCGCTTTTCAATGATGGGCTTAAGAACATTCTTGAATATGTTCGATTAGATGAAGAAAATGAGGATTTGTGTTTATACAACATGTTAAACTCGAATTTTGTATTTAAATAATTTTTTTAATTTACACACGTCATCAAATTTGAAAAAACAGCTATTTACCAACATCAGGGACAGGTGGTAGGATTAACAGAGCAGTCAGGTCTGCTGTAAATTGTAGTTTTGCTGCGTTTGGGTGGAATAAAGAATATGTTAATGATTTTGATTTATGATCCAAATACTTTTGGATACTAATGCTGCACACTCACATGCTTTTAGCCCATATTTCAAATTTGATTTCGCTCTTCTGTCCCCCATCGCCACATTTTTCGCCGCAGAAGTCCTCCATTTTGCTTTCGAACTTCTGGTCGCTATTCTCTGTCCTTCCTCTTCTCTTCGGGGTACTTCAAGTTGTTGTTGTGGCCTTGCAGGGTTGTCTGTGTACGTACTGGGAGGATTTTACTTAACATATTTTGTTTGTTTTTTTGTGCGATACAATTTTTAGCTATAGTCTTCTTCTGTAACAATTAACGAAAATTTAAGGATCCAGGAAAACAAAATGTCAAGCGTCATTCACGTCTATTGTAGATATCGAAAGCTAATGCTCTATCACCTGTCCAGTTAGACGGACGTCGCCGCTGCAGCCCCAGCCTCACTATTCGTCTCCGCAATGCCTTTGTCTATGACAGCTTTTAGCTTTCGCATATCTGCATCTAGGTACACGCTGCGCTGATATTTGGCAGCGATCTTGTCAATGATGCGACCCAAATGCCGCTTGAATATTTCTACCAGCTCATTGTCTGTGGGCGCACATTCCTGTTGACCCCGCAATATGCGTTGAAACTCGTCCTCTGCGAGCGCTTCTGCAAGATTGTCTTCAGTTTCGTCCTGCTGCTTACGCAGCAAACGTATCTCATTATCCAGTTCGCCCTTCTCTCTGCTATGTCCCTCGTACGTGGCAATGTGCTCCTTCAGCTCTCGACCCATCACAGCCCCGGGTTTTAGCAGGCGAGAGAATCGGCTGGCCATAGTTTCGCGCACGTGTTGAACTTTGAGCTCAAGGCACACAACAAATTGCTTACAAATATTTTAAATATTTATATATATATATATATTGCAATAATTTAGGTGTTCTATTTCGGAGTTTGACGTGTCGAGAGTTTATTGCTATTACTAAGTCTTCGATACGAATTTGAAATTTGTGTGCCTGCCTAGGCAGGCGCCTCACATAACAGCCACTGAAACAGAGTTGTTAGTGATATATGACATATAACTGTCGCCTGTGCTTTAATGTTAATTCAAACAGTTTTTTGTCGCTACTCCTGCTCCTGCTTCTGCTTCTGCTCTGCTACTGACCCGGCAGATGAAATCCCATTAATTTGCTTCATGCGCAAAAAATTAAAGCCGCAACAATCTCATTTCCGCTCATTTTTCACACAGCTGTAGTCGCACAAGCACACCATACGAGTATATATAAATGTATATACTCTCACTCGTACTCGTACTCGCACTCGCACACAAACACACACGCATATGGCCGTCGAAATGCGCAGCAAATTAAATTGCGTATACGCACTGTTGCCACTGCGGTAGCATTGGCGGCAGCTGCTCTTTGTTGACTCTATCGGTAAGTGCATAAATTGAATAAAGCGCGCAAGCGACCATCTTCACTATCAACGTGCAACAATGTGTTGCAAGTACAGACACATGTATATGTGTGTGTGTGTGTGTGTGTGTGTGTCTGTGTGTGTGTGTATGTGTGCATGCGAGTTGCAAGATAGTGTTGCCAGATTACCTTTCTTGTTGAAAATTTATTGAATTTCTTGCAAATGTTGGGAGTGTATTGCAGCATATATTATTTTATCTATCCGGCGATAGATTTTAAAAATCCAGTAAACAAAATGAAAAGTAAGCTGCTGCAGCGCTATACATAATTAGAGTATTCATGGCCAGTGGATAAGCTAGTGAGAAAATTTAATTCAATTTCTGGTGACCGTAAACACACATTCTGCAAATAATTTCGTTTGCCAAGCGTACAGGTAAACGTTTTAGCATCTCCTTCGCAAATATCCTGCAGTACTGTTGGAAGATGAAAACAGGAGCAGTGCACTACGTAACCAAATAAAATCTATTAACTGGATTACAGAAATTTGGTTAAATTTCAAATCACAGGGCTGTTAATGCTTAAAATTATATTTACTAATGGAAAAAATATCGTTGATAAATGGTTTCATTTGTGAAAACTGGATTTTTAGTTGTGGGTATTAGCAAGTAAGAAATTAAAAGTATTCCAACAGCTTCACATGATTTAGATTAGTAATATATGTTTGTCAGCGATTTTACTGCATACAAATTTGAAATTTAAAACCAAAATCAAGCTTTATTTTAAAGTTGACAATTGCTCTGCAGAAAATAATAACAATAATTATTATATTTAAGAAACTAAGTACTGTTAAGAATATTGAAACCATTTGTTGAAATAGTCTTCATAAACTGAGAGAGTTAGAGTTCTAAAGAATATAATTCTATTTCGTTTAATTATTTACTCTGATGCGTTCCTTAGAGCAGCATTGCAAACAAAGCAAGCAAAATAAGTACAACTCTTATTTAATACTAAAATATGAGTTTTTACCTTACACGTCAAATACTGCCTGAATTTGCACAAGAATGGGTATAAAACAAATCCATTAACTTAATTCTACAAGTAAGCCTTACAAATCTCAACAAAAAAACATGCTACACTAGCCAACCTCCAAGATTTTAAGCCATTTTCAACAGAGCTTGTTGAGATTACCGAAAGAAAATCAACAGTTTTCACTATTCACTATTCCTTAGCATCAAAACTAAACTCGTTTTGCATTTACAGAGTAGCAAAGCTCCGTAAGCAAATGAGGATTCTGTGTTGCAGTTTCAAAGTGCGTAAAGATGATGACAAAAATAATGCAGAAACTTCTGAGTATTTGTTTTCACTTCCCTCTAATAAAGAATTAATGGGAATACGACTAGACAGCTCGCACGTACATTCCAGTAAGCAGAGCAGGAAGGAGAAGGAGAAGGCGAAGGCGACTTGCTTGCACTTTAATTAATGAAATTGCAGTATAGGCTGTCGTCACATTTCCTTATTGAAGCTAACAAGCCAGACAAACAATGGCGCACAAGGCAAATAGAAAGTAAAATAAATTATGCTGCTTGGTCTTTTCTATTTGCCAATCACAAAACATTGTGATTCCCACCCTCCCCTCCTCCAGCGCCTGATGTGCACATTGGGAATTGAGCCGAAAGTCACGCACTCTGGCCGGCGAGACGTCGGAGATATCGCAGCTGCAGCTTCCTCCTTTTTGGACATTTTATCTTGATTGTGCTTTATAAGTCAATGGTCAATTTTGCTCTTGATGGCCAGCAACGCAATCAACACGGCGCCCATTGCAAGATATACATACTTGTACTTATATAAAAACAAGAAAGGAATGCTAAAGTCGAGCAGGCTCAACTCTTAAATACCCTGTACCACCCCACAAAAAAGTAATTTAATTAATTAATTAATTTAATTTAATTAATTAACTAAATTAATTTAATTAATTAACTAAATATTAACTAATTAAATATAAAATATTCCATGCATGCATACATACATTTACATTTACATCAGAATCGTGCCTTATGCGTGTTTGTGTACTTGTACATATGTATGTATGTGTGCATTGGGCCTGGTTATATGGCTATAACTTTCTTTTTGATCATTCTATCATAATGAAACTTGGTATACGGATATATAATTACTAACCTAATGTGACTACCAAATTTAAGTTTAAAATTCCAAGAATTATGGGAGTTATAGAAAATCGTTAATAGGGGGGGAGTGGGGGGTTGGATCAGAAAAAATGAACAAACTTGTCCTTTCTCGGTCTCAGGAGAATCTGTATACCAAGTTTGGTTATTCTAGCTCTTATACTTTCGGAGATCCTTGCGTTCATACAGACAGACAGACGGACAGACAGACGGACAGACAGACGGACAGACGGTCAGACGGACAGACGGACAGACGGACATGGCTATATCGACTCGGCTTGTCATGCTGATCAAGAATATATATACTTTGTGGGGTCTACCAAGCCTCCTTCTGTGTGTTCCATGTGCACTCGCACAAAACTAATATACCCTTGTACCCTTTGGGTACAGGGTATAAAAAGGAAAATTGCCAGTAGCGGACTTTAATTTTTTGCTTATTCTTTTGCTTATTCACGCACTTGCCAAATTAAATCAACAACATGCCATATTTGTAATTTGCATTTGCACAAAATCGCGTTAAAACCTGTCAATGCCATCAGCTCAGCATAATGCCAAGAACAGAGAACAAACAAAAGCTGGGGGCGGGGAGAATGAAGGCAAAAAAATTGCTTATGAAAATTCATAGGGAAACTTTTTGTGCTTGTCAAGCACCAACAGAACTTGTGTGCAACTTTTTATGCAAATTCAAATGACAAAATGGCGACAAACATCTTTGGAAATTATAGGATTTGTTGTTCCTTCAGTTGCTGGGCGCTGGCATGTCAAGGCTAAAAAGAAAACCAACACTCTGTGCACTTTTCTAGTTTATATTGATTGTCGATGTGGCTAGAAATCCAAATAAAAGTTTTTGGCAACAGAAATGGAATGAGATTCTTCATAACATTTGACATGGCTCTGGGGGATAACACAAAATGCTCAATATGAAGTGGAGATATTAAAAGCCTAAGCTTTATAGAGGCTAGACGCTGGTCATTTACATTTACATTTGAATATTCGTTGGCAATTTGTGGGAAGATGAAGAAAGGGAACAGATTTTGAAACAATAGCCCATATAAGAACTTCAACTTAAATCCATTCAACTGAAACCCCTTCAAGAAATTGCAAGCACAAAATACTTAATATGAAGCGGAAATATTAAAAGCCTAAGCTTTATAGAGGCTAGACGCTGGTCATTTACATTTGAATATTTGTTGGCATTTTGTGGGAAGATGAAGAAAGGGAACAGATTTTGAAACAATAGCCCATATAAGAACTTCAACTTAAGTCCATTCAACTGAAACCCCTTCAAGAAATTGCAAACTTTTCAACTTAATACGCTTTTTATTCATTTGATAACCTTGATCGCTATTTGCTTTTTGACTTAATAGCTAAGCGTTTCATTTGCGCTCAATTTGAATTATCATTTCGAACTTGTCATTCATTAAATACGAGCGCGAATGCGAACAAGGAACCTCTCAAGCTTGTTCAGGGCTGCCCATCAATAATAATTGCACAAATTGTAATTCAATTTCTAATGACAACATTGACGCTGCTTCTATCAAGGTCGTTCCCGGCCCTATTTTTGTTTAATCATGACTGCAGTGCTGACTTTATTATGATAAATTGCTGCAGAGCCAGCATTTCAAAATGTGCCAAAAAATATAATGAAGCGATAATGAGGTGTTATTAATATCAACTTGCGACTTAGTTGGAGCGCCTAAATATGCAAAGTGTTGAGCTTGGGCGAGCTCTCAACAACAACAACTAGCATAAAAATACAATAACTTAGTCTAAACCCATTCAAGTCTATATAGAAATAAAAATAAGCCGCGTGCGCGCCGCTCTTCGAAAGTGTCAAGAAAACAAATGACGGTCAATTTTTTTTTTTGTTTTATGTAGTCACAAGTGTTTGTTTCCCATGCTTTAGCAATAACGCCCTAAACTCAACGAAGCTTGAGATACGCAATGTGCCGGACAGGTTGGTAACTTGAGCCCATAAAAAGGATTTGCAGTCTGGGGCGGCAACAGCAAACAGTGCATAAAAGAATAAAATGAAGCTTATTAAAATGAAAGGCAAGAAAGTATTGCCGGCTTTCCGGCGCAGGCCATTATGCGTATTTTAATACTACTGCAAAGAAAAAACAGTTCTTTTTATAGCCTGTACCCAAAGGGTGAAAGGCTATACTAGTTTTGTGCGCATGTATGTAACACACAGAAGGAGGCGTGGCAGACCCCACAAAGTATATATATTCTTGATCAGGATGAGAAGACGAGTCGATATAGCCATGTCCGTCTGTCCGTCTGTCCGTCTGACCGTCTGTCCGTCTGTCCGTCTGTCTGTATGAGCGCAAGGATCTCAGTAAGTACAAGAGCTAGGATAACCAAAATTGGTATCAAGGTTCCTATAAGCCCTAGGCAGAACGAGTTTGTTTATTTTTTCTGATACACCCCCCCACTCCCCCGCAATTCGTATTTTTTCTTATAACTTCCGTAATTCTCGGAATTTAAAAATCAATTTTGGTAGGTACATCCAGTTAGTACTAATGTGTCCGTGTGCCAAATTTCATCATGATAGGTCAATTCTGAAGAAAGTTATAGCCATAAGTAAAATCGCTGCTCATGCGCTGCCTCTGTCGGCAGCGCTGCCCGCAGCTGTTGTTGTTGTTGCTGCTTTGGTTTAACTTTGTGCTGCATACATACACGCATATAAACACGCATATAAACACGCATAGGTACGTGATGTAAATGTATGCTGTTTAAACTGAACATAAACATGTATTCTAATTTAATTTAATTAATTATTTTAATTAATTCATTCATTCATTTTTTTTAATAATTTAATTTTTTTAAAATTTTTTTTTTTTTTTAATTTTTTCTTTTTGTGGAGAGTACAGGCTATTTTACTGTCGGGCTTGCTCGACTGTAGCGTTCTATCTTGTTTTCGCTAGCGTTCTCCTGTATTAATATTATGGCCGCACTTTATTCTCTAGCCCCCTTCACTCCTTTGTGTGCGTGTCTGTGCACGTAAGCTGCTTATAGACTGTTAATTACTGCTCCGAGTTCAATTAGCTTATCAAGAATTTATGCATCATTTATGGTGCTTTGGTAAAACGAAGGAAGTCATAATTTTTCGCTGAGCTGAGCGATGAGTTCTCCCCATTCACGAATTAATTAACTTTTTGCTTTGGTCGCTCTAAGAAAATTTGTTACCTGACATCAGCATAAAACAATTTAATGATTTTCTTGAAATGTTAGCTTTTCCTGCATTTAGTATATAACCATTTTCTAAATTATTTATCATTCAAAAATCATGTATCATCATTTGATAGCCAATATGCAAAGCTGACTGAATTAAGGTACAAAACTTTTGCATACAAATTTGTCGAATTCTGCAAGTATTCCGAAATAGTGCTGTACCAAGAAATGGTTTTGTTTTATAAACAACTTTCCGATATTTTTCCTGTTAGAGCTTACTTCTGAAGTAGCATAAATTCTTGTGCAAATTATTTGCAACTCTGTGTTAGTTACTTAGCCATGATAACATAATTAAAATGTGTTGTTCACACAATTGGTCATACTATTGGTCACACTGTTGGTCACACTGTTGGTCACACTATTGGTCACACTGTTGGTCTCACTGTTGGTCTCACTGTTGGTTACACAATTGGTCAACAATGGGTCAACAATTGGACATGCAATTGGTCACACAATTGGTCATGCAATTGGTTTCATGGACACACCGTTGGTCACACTATTGGTCAACAACTGTTGATCACACTTTGATGGTTGCACTGCAGTAGTTACTCTATGTACCTAGCCCTTAAAAATGGCACTTCAAACAGCTATTCACTGTTGCTAGCATTATATTGTTTCTTTCCTAATTAGTCTCCCCACCAAAGATTAAATCTCAATCATATTTTTATAATAATAACAATGCAGCATTAGTATAAATATATAAAATTATAAAAATATTACACACAAGGTTTCATTAAAGACTATATTTTGTGTAGCCCTATGACACTGCGCTAAACGAAACTCTATGAGTGTAGTTTGAGTGTGAAGAGAAGAAGCTTAACAGTGTGAAGTGAGAAAAATGGACAAAACAGCTTTTCAGCTACTTGAAACTGACGTCAGGCTTAACATTTGACAATCGATTCTTATGGCGTGGCTAGTCTAAAGCAATTGTTTTCAGATTTTATTATTGCAACAGTGTCATAAGCATGTCTGTGAAGGACTTCTGTCTGGCTGACTTATATGTACTTGTAGTAGAATGTAATTGAAATTTATAAATACTTGAAAGCGAATATGAATATGAATTTCGTCCAATTCATATTCCTCACACTGCTCTCTATGACTGTGCTGGAAGCATCCAACAAAATAACCCGCAATACTGTCTGCAATTAATTAAATGCTTCGTCATGTTGGCGTATAAGAAATGTCTTTAGCAATTTCTTGGGCTAAGCTTTTATGTTTTGTGCGACCTTTTCAATAAACGTGGCGAGCACAAAAAACTGCACCCTGGCATGGCAACATAGCTAACAGTTCGGTAACCCAAAAAATGGCAATAAAATATGGCCAATGTGATAAAAGATACAGATAAGAAATGTTGTGTGCCTGCCAGCAGGATAGGCAGCAGAAAGTATGCCAACAACAGCAACAATCTGAACAAAAGAAAAGAGCACAACAGCCGCCACATAAATCAAAAGAATTGCAAGGAGATGTGCGCAATAAAAACGGTAACAGAAATTAGTATGTACATGCTCGTATTATATAGTAGTATATAAATATAGCAATAGGGAGAAAAAGTAATGCGCCGACAATAAAATTGGCATAACAATGGTCAGGACTGGTTGATTGGACAGCTGCGGCTTTGTGCGACATTTATGCAAATACGAGCCAATGGGTCAATGGCCGGATGAAAACGAAGAGCCAAAGGACTCGGCACCGTGATGACCCCAATCTAATGTGGTTCAATCATGTAAAACATATGCAATTAACTGGAATGCGTGCGGCAGTGGCGGGGTGTTGCAAGCTATTAGGCTGTCAAGCATATTGAATTTTAGTTACGTAATTTATGTAATTGCCACACAGAGTATAGTAATGCAGCATGAAGAGCATATGTGGGGGGAGACACACATACCCATGGGTTAGGCACACACACACACACACAAACACTGCAACACTATGTTGCAATTATTATTACTTGTGTCTACACTTCTTGTGCTTGTTGCCATTTCTGTCCTAGTGTCTCTGTGTCCGGCGTGTGAACGAGCACAGTTACGATGCGGCATGAAATAGCTTCAGATTGCAATCAAGCCATCAGAGATGGGCATGTCTGTGTGTCTGTGAACGAATTACATAGCGCTAGATACGCTTTATAGTGCGGCTAATTACATATTATTATACAACAGACACACGCAGAGATTAGAGCATAGCTGGGCTGGCTACGCAGGAGCAGAACAAGCAACGGGTATATTCCTATATCAAAGAATATAGACCAAAAATACATTATGTTTATATACGTACCTGCCTACGCTACTACTAGATGCTCGGTTTGGTGCTGGATTCCTGGGTATGCCCATGTAGTGTTGCGCTTCAAACCAAAATTATTTGTTTAGTTGTATTTGAATAATTACTGATGGCCTGCTTGGTTCGAAATATATGAATATATCTACTGAGTGTTGCAGACACGCCTTCTATAAGAGATACACTCGTATATACATATATGTAATGCATTGTAATTTTAGTAAAACATAAGGTATAATCAACATAGTAGTAATTCTTTAACTTAAGAGCTCATATAGCTACCAATTCTCAATTCATAAATGCTGTCGACTAAGGTAAAATAATATGTTTTAATCAAAGAGCCACTAATTATAAATATGGCTATAACTATGAATAAATAGTTCAGTAGAATACTTTTATAATCAACTAGCAATTACAGAATTATTGCACGCATTTCAACATTCAAGAAGAAATAAATTTAAAACCGCTTCACAACTAACAGTGGGTTTGATTGGTTTTTATTTTCAATAAATGTACAATTTATATGCGTTTATTTGAATTTCTAATTTTCAAGACATTAATAACATATTTTGAATTGAATATCATTGCCTCACTAGAAAGAAATTTCGAAACTCAAAGGCATATTACTTCATTTTATGAAGCTTAAAAACCCTTGCATTTTTTAAATTTTTATTTATATTATTTTTCCTAATTATGAATAACTAATTATATCCATAATTTAACCACTAAGTATATATATACTTTGTTTAAAAATACATATATATTTCATTTTATGAAGCTTAGAAACCCATTTTCTTAATATTATTTTTCTCAATTATGAATAACTAATTAAATCGATACTATAACCATTTAGTATATATTTAAATACAATTTTTTGTACAAAATGAAACAATTTCGTGCTTCAACGATCTAAAAGTATTCAATTTTTGCTTTACTCTAGTATGTACATAACAAATTAATTAATTTTTGTAAAAGTCGGATAGCTAATAACATTAATAGAGGCCTATTTCAACTTAGAAGGAAGGTAAAACCTGCAATTTCCAGAAGTAAATCTTAACAAATGTAGATTCAAGTGCTGTTTACTATAAATACATTTATCAATACGTTGAACAGATTGGATTGTTATTGAAAAATAGATGCAAAAGAATATAAAGCGTTGGCAAATTTGTTAAACTGATGAACTGCCAAAGATATTGATGGAGACATGAGCTTAACATTACTTTTTTTGAGCATGCACACGCACACACACACAGCTGCATAATTTGAAGCATCCGCCAATTGGGTCGCCACCTCGCCTCACCTCCTCCACTTTGCCACCATCACCAATAAACACCAGACACACGCACCCACACACACCACATTCTAGAAGCATGAAAAACAAATCGCTGCCATCACTTCTGGGCACATTGCTTAAGAAGCATTTTAAAATTCAGCACCATACACTGGCTGCATGCATATTGTTGCTGTTGTTGCCATTGTGGATATTGTTGTTGTAGTTGTGCTTATATTGTTTTATGCGGACCCTGCTTAAGCAGGGCAATAAATTTGCAAAAATTTTCATATGCGGCGCCATCGCAGCCGTCGTCATCGTCATCGCACAAGTGGGGGAGGGGGAGAGCCACACGACACCATGAATGCGTGCGTAAGTGTGTGTGTATGTGTGTGTGTGTGTGTGTGTGAAAGCTGTTTTGTGGTTGCTTTGCTCGTGCTGCATACTTCAAGGGGCAACATAGACGATGACGACAATGTTGTTGGTGTTTTTATTATCATAAGCCTTTTGCGTGCTTCGGTCGCAGCAGACATGCGTGAGTGTGCCAGTTTTTCGTTCAAATTTTCAATTTCAACGTACAACATGTTGCATGCCACGTACCTCAGCAATTTAGTGACAAATTAAGTGTGTGCGCGTATGCGTGTTAATTTTCCAAAAGCACAGCATTTAAACAAATTACGCATACGCCCTGTCTGTCGTAACTGCCTAACAGCCAGCCTGGCTGCCTGCCTGCCTGCCTGCCTGCCTGCCTGCCTTACATGCCCTAAAGCGTTGAGCTTAGCAATTTATTAAACACATTTGCTTAAATATATGCATTTGGCGCACAAACTGGTTTATTTTGTTTGCACACCACTTTATGCTTTTATGCTTTATGGCGCCCGTGGCCAGAAGTGCTGCAAATGATCTGTCGATTTATGACACAACAATTGCAATAACAACATCCAACAGTCGCCATTGAAGCAGCAGCATAAAATACACTGCCCGACCGTTTTATGCTTGTTGAGCATTTCCAGCGCCTTCTTCGACCACACAATGTAGTTTTTATTGGCCGCATATTAAATCAAGCGCAAAGTGCATTATGACTTAATTTTTATGTGCACGCATCACACGTTTTGTCTGACCTCCGTCATCATCGCCATCAACATTGCCACCATCTCCATTGCTTTTATGTAGCGCTAAGTTGCGATAAAAAAGGAAATCATTTGTAATGTGCGCTTCGTGTATTATGAGCAGCAATTTGCTGGTTTGGTTCATAAAAAATTAATTAGCCGCCACCGCTGCTCAGCTTAAATGTTCACCCTTCCTGCAGCTTGTTGCTCACTTGGCCAGTCACGTCTTGTTGCCGCCAATTGCCAATTGCCCAGAGGCAGCAGCACGTGTCCATCAATTGCACTTGACACTTGCCAACTTCATTAGCCTTTGACCAATGCACACATACTCGCACTCACACACTGAAAGCTCGCTGTTGCCGCAGCTTGACGAGCAATTAATACAGCCTGGTAGCAGTTACATGGCAGTCTCTGCGCTCGTTACAGCCAGCGAAGCCCTCACGGCGCTGTCTAATGCGTCTGAAGCTGAAGCTGTTGCACTTACTATACGAGTATATGTACAGCTGAGCTGAGCCGAGTGTGGAAGTGGAAATGCTTACTACATTACAGAATAATACTACGAACGTTCATTTGTCGTCTAATTGGTCTGAAGTACAAATTAAAGGTTTATAGATAGGGCTTAGTTTTGATTCAGACTCCGATTCCAGATACAAGTAGTCTGCAAAACAAACTAGCAGCTCTCTTTAGGCATTTTAATTTCTTTTAGTCATGCACAGACGATAGAATAAGTTCCATGGACTTACTAGCGCTGAATTGTGAAATTTCTGAAAAATTATATTGTAATATTTTGAAATTAAAATGTGAACTTTCTCATAAATTAAATAACACCCCCCTCTGCGATTCTCATACCAAGTACCTAAGCGCTGGCAAATCGAGAATAAAATTGTGAAATTTCTGAAAAATTAAATTGTAATATTTTGAAATTAAAATGTGAACTTTCTCATAAATTAAAGAAAAATATTGTTGACGCCCTCTGCGATTCTCATACCAAGTACCTAAGCGCTGGCAAATCGAGAATAAAATTGTGAAATTTCTGAAAAATTAAGCAATAAATTTGTGGATTTAAATTATGAAATTTCTTTACGCTACAAATAATAAAATAATGTAATTAAAAAGAATAATTTACCTGATTAATTTCGCTTTCTATTTAAAAACAAAAACAACGCTATCAGTATTCAATAATTTGTTGTAATTTAGAACTTATCAACAAGCAACTGAAAGTCACTGACTTTAAACAATTCCAGTTTGCCGTTGTTGAAAGCATATACTTTCCAAAATTAATTGCGTAAAGTGGCATCAACGAATAATAAACGTATGAGCATAAATGCAGATGCTTTTTCAAAAGAACGAGGAGATATGTGGAGATGGGACAAGGCAGATATCTTGAATTTCTTATGCAAACTGTTGGCCCACTCGACCAGACAGAGCCAGCAAGCCCTGTTCCAAATATAAATATGTGCGTGGGTATGCCACGGAGTCCGTTTCTATAGTGAAACCAAAAACTGCACAAGTGTATGGCAAACGTAATTCCAGAGCCAGTTAAAACAGCAGCCGGCAGCTTGGAACATTGAAATTCGAAACGTTGCACTTTGTGTTTGTGGCAGAAAGAAAAAGTAAGTAGGAAAACCGAGCAGACGGATGTGATGTTTCTGGTGGTCAGAGAGCAGACAATATAAACAGACAAAGGATGTGAAGAGCCTGACCAGTCCGACTAAGTCACGTCGCCATTGTCGTTGACTTCGTCATTGTTTGCTAGAGTAAGTAAGTGTACATAAAATTTATTTCAGCTCATGTGAACAGTGCAGGATTTGCTACAAGCAATAACATATATACTCGTATACATACTATATATAGTCGTCAATACCTACATATATACTATACATATACACATATGCAGATGTGTCAAGTCGCTTTATTTTACGATTTTATATTGCAGTAGAAACTACAAGCAAATAAAATAAAATATATACATATGAGCTTACAATCAAAGTGAAATCGAAATAAAAGCGCTGTAGTAGGTAAATTGAATTTTTATGAAGAATGCGCCTTAAAGGATTGAGTCAGAGTCCTTTATTTAGTTTACTATTTTTTTAGCTTGAAAATGCAGCTTTTACGCTTATCCGAAAAGTGAAATGTGTGAAGAAAAAATTACATAAAACTCTATGGAAAAAACTCAACCACGGCGTATACGTAATTTTCATGAAAAATTTATGCAAATACTGACTGACAAAAAGCAAACTATGTGCACGCAACGATATACTATTTATAGAAAAAAGGAAGCAGTGAAAATGCTAATTTTGTATTATTTTTGCCTCCAGTCTAATGTTTTGCTTTCTTTTGGGTGCCTTCCGTTCATTTCTCTTCAATTGTCAACGCTGGCTGTCTGGCCGTCATTTGCGTTTTATCTTTGACACAAGCAGGATATGATTTATGCAAAATGAGTTGCGCGTAACTAATTTAAAATTGGAACGCAAAAATAGGCATAGTGGGAGGCAAGTAGGCAGATCAAAAAGTTCATAGTTTCCTACTTGTGCGGTTTATAATTAGTTTCGAAACGAAACATCTTTAAGCAATCAAAATTACTCTTCTACTTACTTTAAGCGTACAGTAATGAATCTGATGAAAATTTTAGCGTCTTCAAGCTTAACTGTAGCGGATAATAATGAAGACTTGAAGACCCCTAAAGAGAAAATTGTTGGTAAGCTAAAAAGACGATTTGCCAGATTAAAAACTATTTTATTAAAAAGATGCAA